ATGTTTAGTAAAATTAAATTGAAATGCATGTGGATTAAAAGGAATAGTAAATGATGAGGGAAAAGATGGCCACAAATATTTGAATGGTGGGCAATTGAAAGAAAAAGTTGGGGGAGATGGGGCTTTCCTTTTTGCTGGCAAAGGAAGCTTCATCTAATTCTGTATATTATAATGGCACAATTTTAACCACCAAAATATTTTAATATCTTTTTGTGTTGGGAGCTTGATATAGCTACAATCTAATGTCATTTTTCCTCCATTATTTAATTCTTAAATTATCAAATTTCTCCTACCATCACAATCACGTATGTTTTCAGGGAAGTTGATGCTGAAGTTTCCTTGTATATATTATGTTTCTTCATCTAAAGTTTATGCTATTAAAAAATTATATATATTTTGAGATTGTTTCTAGAATTAAAGAAAATAATAATCATCACAAAGGATAAATATAATAATGTTATTGATAAGCTCTGTTTTTATTTTTGATTTATATATAATTTTGAAGAGGATCTCGTATCAATAAGATTTGAAAATTGAATACAACTCGAATCACGTATTATTATTGTTTCTTGTTTATCGTTTCAACCTTGAAAAAAAAAGTCCAATCAGTATTAATAATTCACGTAAAATCAAAAGTATATTCAATAAAAAAAATATTTCAAGCCCTCCATTTTCCCTTGTTTTTCTTCACATAATTATGAAGAGGCAAGGGGGGCTGCTTCCTCCCAGTTGAAGAAAACACAAAAGAAAAATATGATGAATGTAACTGATGAAATAAATAAATAATTTATCTGATTTTAATTTCAACCAATAAGGTTAAAGTATTGATGTATATTCCACGTCATCCACTTTTGTAAAAGGTATCTTGAAATAATAAATAAATAAAAATAAAAACTTTGGTAAAGGTCATAGAGAAGAATTTGTTGGCTTTAAAAACAAGATCAAACGATGGTCTACCAATTATGAAAGATCCATATTCATATGACATTCGTTCCAATTTCTTGGTGTAAATAATTAAGGTTTTCAATAACAATGACATCAAAGCAGCTAAAGAAAATGAAAAATTAATTTGAGACAATATAATTTTGGAAGTACTGGTTGTTAAATAAGATGTGCATCTTGTTTTTTCCAACAATTTTTATTCTCTTATAATAGTTTCATCATTTAAAAAAAAAGATCAAAATTTGATAAATATGTAGCATGGTTTGGTCTCTAATTTTTTATCAAATTAAAAATTTAATTCCATTTTTTATGCATAGTTGTTTCCAAGTTATTGTTGTCTAAAATATTAAAATTAACGGTTAGTTTGAACATAATTTAATGGATAAATCATCTATTATCATCTCAAAAATCAATGACAGTATGATAATTCGCACATGCATTTGTTGAACTAAAAATAAAGAAAAATTAAAATTAACTAACAAAATAATGATGTTATGTCCAAAAATACTAAAACCTATGGTATCATTCTTAACTTAAATTTACTTACTACAGGATAGAAATTTAACTCATTTAAAGTGTTGTATACCAATACAACCTTTTAAAAGTTACCAATTCTATATCCATATATCTAAATTATTTGGGACCGTTGCAAATATGGCAAAAATATTTAGTAAAATTAGTAAAATAACAACCACATTTAGTTTTCTCAAATATAACATTTAAAAAAAAAAAAATGGAGGTCAAATTTTAAAATGACAACTTTATCCAAATGATATACATATGTAATATATACGTAATATATTTGACTATTAGTATATGTATGTGATATTGAAATGAGTATTTGTATAATATGAATGTGATATACATATAAAACGAATGTGTGATATACTTGCAATATGTATATGATATACATCTAATATACTACTAATATGAGTATATGATATACTACTGATATAATAAAAATAGAAAGGGAAAAATTGTAATAATCAAACATTCCAATATCATAATTCTAATTTTTTTTTGATATATTTGAAAATTTAAAAATGTGACATATTTTGAAATACATAAAAGATTTTTTTTTTTATTCACCGCAATTTTCCTCACCATTTTAATATAGTAAATAATTAGTTGATAAAGAAATTAATATGTTAAACTTTTGGTATAGAGGTTGTGAGTTCGATAATCCCCCACGTTGTACTAAAAATATATATACACACTAGACTTTTAAAATTAAAAGGAAAAAAAACCCTAACATTAGAGCCCGAAAGTCACATTTAGCATGTCATTATTTATATATAATATAAACAAAACTTAGCACAACACAAATCATTAAATTTCTTTTATGGAAGAAGAAAAAGGAAACAAAAAATTCATAAAACAGAACGGATATCAAAGCAGAGGACAATCAAAGCGCAGAAGTTAAACAGATTCCGCGTTATCCATCATCGGAAAAAGTGAAAAACCAACATTGGAATCCAAAATAGTTTCTTACAGAGAAGTTGGAAAGTCGAAAATTCCACCATTATAAATAAATTAGAAACTGAACTCATTCACCTTCGACGGGATTGATCATATCATATATCATACGGCTGAAAAATGGCAGAAACATCATCCAAAAATAAAGCTCTGCTCAGTGGAGAAGAAGAAGAAGACGAGCGTGGAGATGAAGGGGAAGAACTTCACTTAGAACTGTCACTGCAAAAACTGAACCTCGGCCCCAAAAAGAAGCTTCTGATTTTGGGACTCGGTGGATTTTTATGCCACAGAGTCTTTCGTTACGACAGATCCAAATTTCCTAAACGCCGCACTTGCCCTGATGCTTCATATGGGAGTTTCCATGGTCCTGAAAAATACTCTCAATTTTTTCCCATGTTTTCTAATTTCCTCTCTCTTAATTTCTCTGTCGTTGGCAGTTTATAAGAGGCCACACTGTGAAGAATTCATCAAGTTTTGCTTGGAGAGGTTTGAAGTGGGAATATGGTCTTCAGCAAGAGAGTGAGTCACAATTCAAACCAAACCCATTAAAACAAATCCCTTCCTGTCTTGATTCTTTGCTGATCTGCCATTCAGTTTACGAGTAACTAATGCTTATTTCAAAAGCAGATGGTATATGAACAATGCTTTGGATTCTATAATGATAGGACTCAGAGGGAAGCTTTTGTTTGCTTGGGTATGTAAATATGTTGGAAATATGTTGGAAGTTTTGGTGTTTTATGGGCTTAAAAATTGTGTTGTTTTGGGCTGGGTTTTACAGGACCAAACAGAGTGCACCAGAACCTGTTTTTTTGACCTGGAGAAGAAGGAAAGGCCCATCTTTTTAAAGGAATTGAAGAAAGTGTGGCTGTTGAGAACTCTAACAAAATTTTCTTCATCCAACACATTGTTGATCGACAAAGAGCCTTACAAAGCTCTGTTAAACCCTGTAAGATTTCAACTTTTTTCAAATCAAATTGGTTTGTTGAACAATTGTGTAATGAAATGAATTGGGTTTGTTTGTGCAGCCTCACACTGCCATATTCCCAAACGAGTACAAAGCAGATGATGTTGAAGACGGGGGTTTTAAATGTGGAAGTGATCTGAGATTGTACCTTGAAAAATTGGCTGAGGCAGAGGATGTTCCTGGTTTTGTCAAAGGGAATCCCTTTGGAAAGCCTGCAATTTCTCCTCGACATCCAAACTGGGATTTTTACTCCAAAATCATTCGAAAATATCAGAGAAGCTGATGGCTGATTACATCCCTTTTGTTTTTGATTTATGTGTTTTAAGAGTTGTTTAGTTCTTATAAAAATGGAATATAACTCAATTGCTTGCCATAGAAACTAGAGAAGAAGATAGCTCTCGAGTAAATGTCGTTTATGGGAATATTTATGTTTTCATATTTACTTTGTATCAATGTTCCAATCACAGCCTGCAAAGTCACCAATCTCAAATCCCTCCTTAAATCACAGCCCGTATGAATGTTTCTTCAACAGATTTTCCTAATTTGTATTATTTAATTTAATCAATTAATATCTTGACAAATTGTAAAGGTCTAATTTGATATTTGATTATTGAAGTATGGAAAATTATTTTAATAATTTACTTTAATTCAAGTTTGAAATTAACCTCTTGAATTTTTTAAAAATCAATTTATATTATAATTCTTAAAAATTAGTTTATACTATCGTTATTAACTATCTTTTTTAAAAATTATTTATACTTTAAAATGAAATAGTAAAGATGGACGTGTTTCTAATTGGTGTATATTAAATTATAGTTAAAGTTAGTGTTAATTCTATCAAATTTTTAGTTATAGTCAAAATAAGAAATGTAAAATTTTGATATAATATATTTAAGAAAACAAAATATCACCTTCTCTCCCATTTTGCATTAATTTATAGATTCCCATTTTACACTAAATTTATAAATTGTTGGTGGGTAAAGTTCTGTAAATTATTTGCAAGGATGATTGGTAAAAGATGAATTCAACCTCTTACCCTTTGAAAAATCTTTTAAACTTTTTAATTTTTCACACAATCTTTCAAATTAATTACCCAACCCAACATAAATTAAATGATTAATTAATAAAGAGATGGAAATTAATTAAAAGAGGGATTTAGTTGGGGCTGAGTGCTGACCTGGATGGGTTAAGTGCCTTTAATGAACCCGGCCGGGGTTGGGATTGGCTGCCTACTCATCCTCACTCTACATGTAAATACTCCGATAGTATTGTTCACTCGTCCTATAATTCAAAAATATCATCATGAATATAATTAAAATTGTTTATGTTGGACTTTTAAGTTAATTAAGAAATAATACAATAATAACTCGGAAACTTGGTTGTTACCCGGAATGTGATAAATCCTCGAAAGCTTGATTGAGAAAGAGCGGCTGTGGAAACCAACCAATATACTTACCACCATCACTTCATACCCAACAATAACACCAGTTTTGTTACAATGTCCCACGTCCTCAATTTCCCTGCCACACAAACTCAATCAAATCAAAATTAAAATAATAATAATAATAATAATCTAAGTTCACTGTTATTAATGGTGATCGTATCCACCAAGAAGTTGATACCCAACGTAAGTGAATTTTGTATTCCCCCCACAGCAGTCGTTACTTAATTGAGTAAAAATGAGTTGGTTTTGAGTGGCGGTAGGATGGGTCTTCGGAGCGAGTGCCACAAGTTGGATAGTTGTGTGCATGGTTATATTAATATAAAAAAAAATTAAAACCAGATAAAAATATAATGTGATTTGAAACTTGAAAGAGTGGTTATATTAATGATTGAATTTTATCTAATTAAATTTGAAAAGATTTAATTGTGAATAAAAATAAAAGTATACAAATATGATAAGTTAGCCCATTGAAATTGAGAGAAATTTATCGGCTCATTGAGTTTTCAAAAAAGATTTTCAATTCAACGTTTGTCTTAGAGAATTGTATATATTATTATTAATTTGTAATTTCAATATTATAAGAAAATAATTTATATAGAAAATATATGATTTTATGTTATAAATTACATTTATAAATTGAAATAAATAGAAGACAATACTATACTAGTACATATATTGTATGTTCTATAAAAAATACGAAGCCTTTTAAAATTTGGGGTTTAGGCAATCAACCGCCTGTACTTTAGGTCGGACCTGAGTATGAGTCGCTGCCACCAAATCAATCGTCGAACTAACTATACATGGAAACAATTCATCTCATTTGGAAGCCTTCAATTATTATTTCTCCCAATCATCAACTTAGCTTTTATTTTCATATCATAAATAGTGAGGTTTTAATTTCAGAAATTGCAACTACTCTTGCTTGAGATAGTTTTTCCATGTAAATTTATAAAATTAATAAAAAAACAAAAAACAAAAAAAACAAAAAGCTCATTAATAATATTTCACGCATCTTAGAGATTTGTTAAAATGATGCAGACACATGATTTGTTACAGATGATGCAGACATATTGAAGTGTGGATTATGACCACGTATAATTTCAATGATGCATTTGTCCATACATACCAATACAACTTGTATATTCCAAATTGGACGTACAAAAATTAATTACCCAACCCAACAAATAATTAATATAACCCACAATGACACTATACAAATAATTAATATAATCCACAATGTCACTATACTGACCCCATACGAATACAAAGAGAGAAGAATCAGACTGAGATGATTGAGCTAGCCGTGAATAAATCCCGCAAATTGTCCACCAAAAATTGTCCACCAATACATATACGTTCTCCCAAGAATCATCTGGACTCAATATAACCAACCCCTAAATAACCTGTGTGTTCCCCAAGAATCATCTGCACTCAACATAACCGCCAAATAACCTCTTATCTTGCACTACAGGTTAGAGTTGGACTCGGGAGAGGCTCAAAAGATATGTGGCCTTTGAGTAAAATTTTAGTAGATAGACCTTAATATAAAATATCAATGTATTATCTAAATTTATAAATGGATTGACGGTGAATTCTAAAAGAATTTGCTTTAATTAAAGATTTTTTTTAGAGAATGGTGTATCTTATTGGTTTATAATTTCAATATTATAAGAAAATAAATTAATTTTTATGGAAAACATATTATTTTACAAATTAAAATAAATAGAACATAATGTATATATATTATAGGTTCTATGAAAAGTATGGAGCCTTATAAAATTGGGACTTAGCAATTGTCTTATTTGACTCATTTACCTGTACCTTAGGTCGAGTCTGGTTGAGCTACCATAAATATCTCAGTTGAATATTGACAATTGAACCTGAAAAAGCATGCATCTAAAAAAATATTTTTAGACTATATTACCCCTCTCATCTTTAATAAATCACACACATACTATTATCTTTAATTAAATATTACAAATTACAAAAATTTCATTCCATTTTTTAGATATTTTGAATTCTAAATATTCAATTACATTGAATAAAACGAAATTCGATTTATTTGCATAATCGAAACAAATTAATTATCTTGGTGCGATTTCGCTAATCATTGGGAAACCGCTACAATTTTAATTTTTATAACCATCATAAATAAAATAAAATAGTTAACTATTAATAAAGAAGTATATAAATGTAATAGAGATCTATTTTTTAAGAAAAGACACGTGGATTGCCAATTTCCTAATCTGGAATCTTGCACACTCGCGAGAGAAGAATATGGGGTAGAAACTTTTTTTGTTATTTAGTTTTTGTCCAAATTTATTTTGTTACTATTTGTTATTATATAAAAGAAAATAGCAACGTAGGAACCAAATTATATTGCAGAAATAGAGGGGACTGATATTTACCCCTTGAATGTTATATGCATGCAACTTAATCCACCGGTAAAACAAAATTCAACGTGTGTTCAAAGTCTATTATTTTTCTTCTGCTCACACATCGAAGTACATTAAAAAAATAGTAATTTAACTAACATATCAATTTTATACTTAACCATATGTTTTTTTATAGAACAACTTAATTAAAAAGTTTTAGAAAGATTTACATAAAAAATTTATTTTTAAATGTAGAATAAAATTTACAAAAATAGTGTTATCAAAATCAAATTCAACTATTATGTAAAATACACTAACAAAAGTCACATTTAGGTTATATTAAAAAAGTGACAAGTATGACATTTTGTAAATAACAAAATATAATTTTTTTGAAACAATATATTTTTGTATTAATATAATTCATTATTCACACTTATGAATGTTTAATTAAAATAAATTTATACGAAAGACTGAAGCACTATTCTATATATTAGCATCATTGATTTGAATATAAATATTTCGTTTTCTTAAAATTAAGACCAATATTTTTCCATCGACATTTTTTGCAATTGGATTATTATTAAAAAAATAAATAAATAATCACGGTAAATAGGTGTCAGGAATCCAACTGACCCTCTTGGATTTTCTTTTTGCTCAAATAATTCATCATTCTAAAATTGTTTTTCTAACTTATTGATTATTTTAATTAATTTAAAAATAATTGAAATTACATTTGTACAGTCAAAAAAAATATTTTGTTCCCATTTCTCCCTCTTTCTCTTCTTCGCCTGAAACACCGAAAGCTCTTCTTCTATATGAAAGTTGTTTGACATCCGATTTTGGAAGTACAAAATACCATTTGTTTTGTTTCTATTTCTTTCACCTCTCTATTTTTTTTTTATTGTTTTCTTTCA